ATCTCTGGGCTACCAAACATTTGCTCTAGCATGGAATCCTGGACAAGCCCCCATTTGTAGCAGAGCATGGCAAGGCCCCTCAGACTCCTAAGTCCACAAAGTCACTCTGAGACTCTCAAGTTAGTCACCACTAGTGCAGTTTATTCATAAGCTTGTTCCCACCGGCCCTTCACCATCTACAGATGGGAGGGAAGCGCTACCTCCCCTCTTCTACTCCCTGCCTTTTCTTTCTGCTCCCCCCCCCCCCCTTGGCTTCCTTCCCCTAAGGCTTTTATACAACCCCAAGCTAATCAGACAACAGCTGTCTCTGCTTCGCCAATTAGGGCCACATCATCTCCAGCCAGCTCTAATGTATTCCCCTAAATGAGAGCTGGCATGACAGAGGGCTGAATCAGCAACCCTTTGCCCAGCACCCTCTAACAGAAGCCTATATGCCTAACTCAGGCTTTGTAAATTCCATTGTTGTTCTAGTGGTTTTATAAATCAGGCACTGCAATGCTCAGCATCACAATGCCTAAGTCCCTTTGTGGGCTCAGGCCTTAGTTAAAGTTGTAGTGACCTATGCTTTTAGCTTTGGAGATGCCCGCTTCAACCCCCAGTCATGGCCAAGATGGCAGTCACCACCAAAGCAGGGACTTGTCTGGGAGGAGTTTCAAAATCTGTAACGTTTTGGCAACAGGCAAGATTTCCTAGCTGACTCCAAAAAACTGAGAACAAGTCAACTATTAACAGAGGACTGCTGCTAGCCAGAAAGAGGCTAAATTTTCTGTTTGCTCATTAGGTAAATTAAACTGGTGGTCTCTAAGGCTCAAAAGGGGAGAGGGTGTAGAGAGAGAGCGTAGCTAGATGTGAGAAAACAGAAGTGTAAATGTTATTCTGAAATCCTACCTCATGATACAAATGCTACAAACGAAATTTTTATTCCATGAACATGCATTGCTATAGCAGCAGAAAGAGTTTGGAGAAGTCTATATTGGAAGAACATAGTGGTGGGCTTAACAATGTCTGTTTAAAAAATGTAATGTTTTTCAAATTGCTTACAATGATTTTATTAAATGTAAATATTTGTACAGTAAGCAGTTGTTTGGTACTCTCTCTTTAATAAGACCTGCAGTCAGGATTTTGACTACAGTTGCCCTGGGATTTGACTAATCTTTCTGAGACAGAACTTTGGCCTGTGCTACATCAAAGAGTTAACCAGAGGTGCAGAAAGGGGAGTGTAAAAGTTTGCTCCTGCGGGAATCTGTGCCATTGCACACACGCAGAATTCATGTCCCTTGCAGAATTTTTTTTCTCTGCAGAAAATGCATTCTGCCAGAGAGGCACTGCAGTTATGCCTTTCGCCCACCAGGGGCTGCTATGGTGCCAGAACAGAGAGCAGCTCCCACATGGGAGCAGCCCAGCTTTGGATAGGGAGAAGAGGCTACTTTCCTCCAGTGCCCTACCCCTGGGGCCAGGTGAGGAGACATGGGTTATGGAGGGAAGGGACTACTTAGGGTACATGGGACTGCTACATGGTCCCACACTTGAGAAAGGCTTTGAAAACTGCCCAACGTAAATACAACCACAAAGGATTTTTTTAAACATGAATTGCCAGATTTCTTAAGTGGAATTGGCATTAAATATTTTTAATAGTACAATCTTAGAATCCTCAGAAATTAGCCTACAGAAGATTTAGCTCAAAGAAGTTATTTCCCTCCTTCTTCCACTTTTAGCCCGTTACTGTATATTCCATGTGAATTACAACAGTCGTAGTCATTAGGTTACTTCTCACAGTTTATGGTTTTAATGATTTTTGCAACATTAGACGCACAACATTTTCAAGCATCAAAAACCAGCCTTTCCTATCTAACATTTTTATAAAGATAATAAAAGCTAATGAGCACTCATGATCTATGATCTGACAAGACATCTGTTCTTTTCTTTCTGAGATGATAAAACACCTACTGTGTCTTGTTCTGGCACAGTGGGAGAGAACAAATATGATCCAATTAATCATTTTAAACTATAAGCTATATTAAGTTATAGTTTCTCAACAGGCTTGTCACACTCTGTTAATAGCTTGCAGGTGTTCTAAAATAGCCTTTGCAATATGATTATTAAATCTTGCTTTCATCATGTGGTCAGCTCCACCTAGTAATCCTGTTTATGTATATTAAATACAAAAAAAATGGTTAATGCACATTTAAGGCTGAGCTTCAAAACCTGCAGAAGCAAGGATAGGGAATTCTACATATCATGGCAACAAAAGCTCTACTTCCTAACACGTATTTTGATAGAGTTTTTCATTACATACTCATAAAAAACTTGGCACTGATACACTAGCAGGCAAATATTCTATAAATATGTACGTAACAGAATAGAGCCCTTTATCCACGCCCTATTGTAATAATTTTGTACAAGCATGTCTTGTAAGGTGTCATTTGAAAACTCAGTTTGCTGGAATCATCCTGATAAAATATGTATGGCAACATATAATTTTACATACAAAGATTTCCCTGTATGATAACACATGTTCCCAATCCCACAGCTCTGACTAAACAGAAGTTGGTAAACAGGTCCGTCAAAAACAAAGGAACGTGTGTTCCGCTTAATTTGCATTTAAGCAGTAAACAGCAAGTAGGGAGGGAAGACAACAAAAGTTCAAACAGGTGAGAAAAAAGCAACAGGGACCATCCTTCCACATAGACTTTTTGTCTCCAGGTGCCCAGCTAGAAATGTTTCTCAAGACAGGGACTGAAACTACAAAAAAGGAGGGACAAACACCCCCAGGCACTCCACTCTTCCTGCCCATTGCACTCACTGCACCTGAAGGGACAAAGGAAGCAGTCAGACTCTAGGGGAGGGGTCCAGACCTACAAGGTTTGGTCAGTAAGACTGCTGTGAAAGCATGTGGTGAGAAACTTTGCTTCAATCTGATATAGTTTGTTAAGTTAGGTAGTAGTAGGTGTCTTATCTTTATTTTTCTTGTAACCATTTCTGTCTTTTATACCTCATTACTTGTACTCACTTTAAAATCTATTTTAATAGTTAATAAACCTGTTTTACCTAATCCAGTGTGTTTAAACTGAAGTGTCTGAATAACTATTTGAGATAATCAACTGGCATATTATTCCCTTTAAGGAATAACAGACTTAAAATATTTTATTCTGTCCAGGAGAGGGCTGGACATACATTTTGGGAGGGAAATCGGAGACTGCGGTGTGTTGGGATCATCCTGCAGTATAACCAAGGCTGATGAGAGCCAGAGTGCAACCCAAGTGTGGCCGGAAGGCTGCATTACACACAGACATTCAGGGTGTAGCTTGCATGCTGGAAGGCTGTTTGTGAGCAGCCCCAGTGGGAGCTACTTCAGCAAGGCATTGCAAGGCACTCAGGGTTGCAGGGCAGCTGCTCATTAGTCTGGATTGTACCCTGGTATGTCACAACAGATTAATTAAGTGGAAGTACAGACATGTGGACAGTGAAATATTTTGTTTCTCACCATTTATCTGTGTCAGAAATGGTGTGATTGGTGACACTGTAGAACATAACAGAAAACAGTTGCCCTTTGCAATTTATCATACATGTATATCACCGTCCAAATACTTTAGGAATATTTTTCTGAGAAGAGCATTTATTTAGCTCAACTAGTATTTACACTGTTTATGTTTAGTGTATTGTATGTAGACATCTGTGACCTTTTAAAAGGGGAGGGGCAGGGATGCCACCTTTGAAATTAGAATATAATAATTAGCTCCGATCTTTTTAAAGAAAGATATTTAAAAGGTAGTACCTCTCAACATAGGAGAAGTATGGTAAAATATGCAAGTCTCTATCTTTCTGTAGAATAAAACTGCAACACGTTTGCTCAGCCACCTATAATTATACAAGAATCCATGTATAAATCAAATTATTTTAAAACAATGTTTACTATTTGTTTGACAACACTATTATGCCAACAGGTAAAATCCCTTTAATACATTCCCCCTGTATGTTTTGGTACAAAGTGGTTAGATTGTCCTATGGATCAAAGTATTTACTTCTTTGATAAGAAATTACTTTTAAAAATAGTGGATTACTTGTGTGAGCTTTGTCCTCCTTTTCCTATGTCAATTACTGTCCTTTTAACATCACTGCTTGCTGTCCAGGATCCTTAAGAATATGTAGGGATTTAAAGACTCATTTGAAGATTTTTCAGACCTCCCTCCATATACATGATAATATTTCTGCATCAATGGACTGTTGCAAATCCATTAACAGAAAAGTATAAGACAAATATAAATACAACTTTGAAAATTGTGCATTCAGTCTTATGCCATTTGATGTTTAGTGTTTTAGATATTTCTTTTTAGCAGGCAGAGTTTTATGCTCTTTGCAAACAGCTGTACTCCACAACAAAAGAGAAAATGTGAGAAGTAAATGTTTGACAGAAATTGCTTAGTCATTACAAACCAAAAGCACTTGCAAGTTAAACGCCTGACATAAGCAAAAATATCCCAGGTTAGCTAGAAAAGGCAAAAAGTACAATTTTGTAGGGAGTAATGCTTATTTTACAGAAGGAAAACAAGATGGCAGTAACACTATTCAAAAGTCTTATGGTGTAGGACTTCATGTACAACCAGGGAAAAAACTCTTATCAAGATGGATGAACTGAGCTTGTGTGTAGGTGGGTTGCCCGCTATACAAGCATCTTGGGGGAAAAAATGTCAAGACAGGAGAGTCCTCCAATAGTTTAAAGAAGCTTTTTTCAATGTAATGTGAAGTATTACTCAGGAGTGGTATGTTTTCTTTGCTAATTCTCTATGAGATGTGGCATAGGATTCTTAGTTATTACAGTCTCCTTGGTATCTCCACACATTCAAGCTTTTTCCTTTGTGCAATGTGAAAGCCTACTCAAAGCAACAGTCTTTGTCAACACAATGAAAGGTATATACTCATGCAAATGATGGTGCAATATGATTGTTCAGACCATTAATATATGAATTCGGTCCAGACAAAAACCAAACACTGGACAGTCACAGATTCTGCTAAAATATTAAAATTTAATTATACCTTTTCCACAGAGGACTATCGCAAGGCACGAGAAAAGGTATTCTTCGAATAAAGAACAGATATACATCTAAAACAATATATATAAGTTCTAAACGGCAAATTGACAACGAAGTCACAAATACTTTAATATTTAGTATAATATAGTGTACATGTTCATATAGAATATAAATTAGATCTTAATTCCATCCGCCGTTTACTTTTTCAGTGACAATGGTCTAAATTTTTACATTATATACATTAAAATACTAAAATGTTAAAAACCTTTTAATATAGGTACAATTCAATAACTGGGAAAATACATTAGATCTGTCATTTTGTACACTATCTAAATCAAACTTTCTATACAGTGTTCTCTGCAAAAATAAATGGCACTTTTACATGCAACAAGACACACAATACAAGTGTGTGCGTTAACAGCATATTATGTGAGTAGGAGGGAAACTATAAAACTCATTCACTCACACAGTTGAGAATCAGAAATAAAATTGGAGGGAAACATTGTGACAAACCTTCTCTTCTTCGTGTTATTTTAATGCTAATGAAAGTATACTGCTTTCAATACTAATCTAACATTAAAAAACAAAGATACAGTGTACTATGAAATTTAAGTCATGTAACAGTATCACAGACTTACTTAGAGAACATAATGGACAGCAAACAGATCCTTTATGAATTTAAAAAAAAAAGTCAGCCCTGTCTCTGGGTCACAGCATCTAGGCTGCTTTTGTGTTGACAGTTTCCAAAATTACTTCTGCCACTCTGAATTGTGCATCAGTAGTCAGATGAGTTTTCCAGACTTCATTATGCCATTGTGTAACCATAGCTTCCACAGTGTAATGCCACAAGAAGCCTGTTCTTAAGGGTTTCTTTGCTTGGGTATTCAGGTAACTTGAGCATGTTGATACTAAAATAAAAGCATCACCATTAAATAGGAGAAGTAGAAGTAAAAATTTGATTGTTTTGTACTAGGTAATTAACATGAAACTGTCCTCTCAAATATGTATTCAAATCAGAAAACCCTGAAGTTGTCATATTTATGAAAAAACGTACTGCTGCATTGCAGTACCCGTCAGCATTCAAATGTACTGCAAGAAAATAAGTTCCTTGTGGTTTAAAGTAAAAAGCAATACAGTAATTTAGCTTGAAGCGTCCCTTAGTGATATTGTACTGCCTTCCATTAACTACATGGGAGTAGTTAAGGTTTCTCCTTCAAAAATATACCTATTTATGGCTTAACAACCAGTTTTATGTTGGATCGTGGGTATGCTCCAAACTGACCAAAGGTTTTCCTTTTAATTAGGTTGTACAAGAGGGTTGTACCTGAAGTGTAAAACAAATAATGAAAACAATGAAAGGATTCTGCTCAGTTTCTTAATGCATTTAAATGAAACTATTTAACATACCATGTACTTGATGTTGGTAGCAAATTTGGAGTGTATGGCACAGCTGCAATTGTGAAATTCTGCAATCCACTGCCACCCATTATATGGGCAAAGCCACCATGAGGAACCCTGGAACTGAAAGCATCCACCAATTATTAAAACATTAAAAGGGTACTTGGGAGCTGAAAAACCAGCACACTGTGGAAATCTTGTATTGCCACGGCTAATGACCGCCTGCTAAAAAATGGTTACCGACCTTTCCGCAACTATTGTTCTTTGAGATGTGTTGCACATGTCCACTCCATTAGAGGTGCATGTACAACTCATATACAGTTCGCAGATAACGTTTTCCCCCTCAGCAGTACTCACTGGGGCAGCTCAAGCACCCTCTACGGCCAAGTGCCACTGCATGCCAGTAGAAGAGGACAGAGTTGCGCCCAATCCTCCTCAGCTCCTTCTTACTGGATAGATTCTGATAGAGAGAGGAAGGAGGGCGGGTTGTAGAATGGACTGGGCAACACATCTGAAAGAACGACAGTTACAGAAAGGTAGGTAACAGCTTTTTCTTCAAGTGATTGCACATGTTCATTCCATTATAGGTGATTCACAAGCAGATTAACATGGAGGTGGACTTGGAGTCTACCCGATCATTGTAAAACTGGCATTGTTCCTGGACTGATGGGAAACTGCATAATGCGCAGTAAAAGCGAGTACTGATGACCAGGCTGCTGCTTTGCAAATATCTAAATAGGTACTTGGACTAGAAAAGCTCCTGAAGTTGTATGTTCTCTACTCAAACGAGCCAACAATCGTGGCATGACATTAGCTAACTGGCAGCACAAACAAATACGAGAGAAAATCCTCTGAGTGGAAACTAGCATGCCTTTCACCCTGTCCACAAATCACAACAAATGACTGCATTGAAGTTCTAAAGGGTCTGGTGCTATCCAAGAATACGGCTTTCCTCGCACCCAACAAATAAAGCTTCTCCTCATCTGTATGCATGGTGAGGCTTCAGGAAAAACATCAGGCAATGTATTTGCTAATGTGGAAACTGGAAGCCACCTTGGTCAAGAATTTTGGGTGAGGGTACAGATAAATTTTATCCCCATGGAAAATTGTACAAGGATGTTCTGAAACCACGGCTCAAAATTCACCCAATCTCCTTGTTGATGTTATAGGAACCAGAGAAAACACTTTCACAGAGAGGTAGAGTAGGGAGAGCATGTCGCAAGAGGTGCAAAGAGAGGTCCCACTGATTTTGTTAGTAAAGTTGAGATCCCACAGGGGAACAAGTCTTATACTCAAGGGTATAATCTGTTCAACTCTTAGAAATCTGGGCACTGCCTTGAGAGGTGGGCGGCTGCAGAGCAGTGGCTGTTGGCTGGGCATCAAGCTCTGAAGGCAGCGTCCTGCCAGCAGCAGTGCAGAAGTAAGGGTAGCAGTACTTCAACCCCCACTTCAATAAACTTGCAACTCCTCCCTCCCCACAACTCCTTTTTGGGTTAGGACTCCTACAATTACAACAATGTGAAATTTCGATTTAAATAGCTGAAATAATAAAATTTACAATTTTTAAAATCCTATGACTGTGAAATTGACCAAAATAGACTGTGAATTTGTCCAGACGTCGTGACCATTCATGGTGAGGGGAGAGAGTCCTGTGTCGGTGATCTGCCAACTTGTTCTACTCTCCTGGAAGGCAAACAACTTGGAGGTGAATGGAGTTAGTTATGCAGACTTCCCAAAATAGAACTGCCTCTGCCACAGTTGGGCGGAACATGATCCTTCTTGTCTATTTATATAAAACAGTGTTTAACAGACAAGATATCAACAGATTTTTTTCCCCAGAATACATGGATTAAAGACAGAGAAGGCTAGACGACATGTAGTTTCCTGATGTTTATTCGAGTCCTCAGATTCCCATTCTTCTCAGATAAGCAGCTACCAGTGCCATTCACTTTGTAAAAAAAGCAAGGGGCTGCTGATATGGCAAATGGATGTTGTCAAGGTTCCTTCCCCACTCTGAATTCTAGGGTACAGATGTGGGGACCTGCATGAAAACCCCCCAAGCTTACTTTTACCAGCTTCGGTTAAAACTTTCCCAATGTACAAACTATTTTACCTTTTGCCCTTGGACTTATCGCTGCCACCACCAAACGTCTAACAGGGATATAATTTGGAAAGAGTCCGTTTGGAAACGTCTTTCCCCCCAAAATCCTCCCAAACGTTACATCCCCTTTCCTGGGGAAGGTTTGATAAAAATCCTCACCAATTTGCATAGGTGACCACAGACCCAAATCCTTGGATCTTAAGAACAATGAAAAAAAATTCAGTTTCTTAAAAGAAGAATTTTAATAGAAGAAAAAGTAAAAAGAATCACCTCTGTAAAATCAAGATGGTAAATACCTTACAAGGTAATCAGATTCAAAACAGAGAATCCCCCTAGGCAAAACCTTAAGTTACAAAAAGACACAAACAGGAATATCCATTCCATTCAGCACAGCTTATTTTCTCAGCCATTTAAAGAAACCAGAATCTAACGCATACCTAGCTAGATTACTTACTAAGTTCTAAGACTCCATTCCTGTTCTGTCCCTGGCAAAAACATCACACAGAGAGAGAGAGAGAGCGCGCAAGAGTGAGAGAGCTTTGTTTCTCCCTCCCCCCAGCTTTTGAAAGTATCTGGTCTCCTCATTGGTCATTTTGTTCAGGTGCCAGCGAGGTTGTCCTAGCTTCTTAACCCTTTACAGGTGAAAGGGTTTTTCCTCTGGCCAGAAGGGATTTTAAAGGTGTTTACCCTTCCCTTTATATTTATGACAGATGTACTGTGAATTGGTAATATGTTCCATTTGCTATGAACCCGAGGAACTTGTGGTTGTCTGGACAGATTGCTATATGGAAGTAAGCATCCTTTAAGATGAGAGCAGTGTAGCAATCACCCTTTTCCAGAGAAGGAATAATGTAAATTGGGTGACCGTGCACAACTTTATTTTCTTCAAGTACTTGTTTAACTCTCAAATCTAAAATAGACTGAGACAACCTTTTGCTTCAGGAATACGGAAAGAGCAGGAATTAAAAATCCTGCCCTCTGAGGAATAGAGGAACTTCCGCTATTGCTCCCACTAGAAAGAGATTGGTCCTCCTGCTGAAGAACGATCTCATGAGAGTGGTCCGTGAAAAGAGGTGGGGATGTGGAGACAGGAATAAATTGAAGGAAATATCCCACATCCACCATGCGCAGGACCCACTGACCCGATGTGAGTCCTAGCACACAGGAAGTGGGACAGAAGACTGGCAAAGGTATGGGTAGGAACCGATTCATCTGCAAGTACTGGTATGCTGCCCTCAACGAGCCCATCACAATGCATGTTTAGACTGGGCCACTGGTTGAGAGGAACCTGCTGTTGCAGATAACTAGAGGGGTGATGGTAGCTTCCTACAATTCCTGCCTCCTTTTCTTGGCAGGTCTGGGGGACAAAGTACAAAGAGCTGATATCTGCAAGCTTGCTGGAGCCAGAATTGCATCCTCTGTTACCTCTGTGTGTAAATTCCAAGGGATTTTAGTGCTACCCTGGAATCTTTTAGGTAATGCAGCCTAACATCCTGTCTTTTCAGAAAAGAGGGATAAACCCTCAAATGGCAAATCCTGGATGGACTGCTGTACTTCAGGAGCAAGACTAGAACAGAGGTGGGCAAACTACAGCCCGCAGGACTCTCCTGCCCAGCCCCTGAGCTCCTGGCCCAGGAGACTACCCCTGGCTCCTCCCCCGCTGTTCCCCTCCCCCACAGCCTCAGCTCACTGCGCCACCAGTGCAATGCTCTGGGCAACGGGACTGTGAGCTCCTGTGGCAGCGCAGCTGCAGAGCCCGGCCAGACCCGGTGCTCTGTGCTGCATGGCTGCCTGTCCTGGTGCAGCCGCGCCGCTAGCCACTGGTGCTCCAGGCAACACAGTAAGGGGGCGGGGAGGGGATTGGATAGAGGGCAAGGGAGTTCGGGGGGTGATCAGGGGCTGGATAGGGGTCGAGGCGGTCAGAAGGCAGGGAACAGGGGGGTTGAATGCGGTCAGGGGACAGGGAGAAGGGGTAGTTGGATGGGGTAGGGGTGCTAGGGGGGCAGTCCCAGGTGGGCCCTCCATACAATTTCAAAAACCCGATGGGGCCCTCAGGCCAAAAAGTTTGCCCGCCCCTGGACTAGAAAATTACAGCGACGAACACCTCCTCATAGAAATAGCAAATGCCATGGAACGAGTCTGGTGCATCCGAACTGTCACAAGCTTACCTTTCGCTACCATGAGAGTGAACTCCTGCCTGGAGTCCTCTGGTAGCCTGTTCTTAAACTTCACGATATTTTCCCATAGGGTGAAGTCATAGCACAGTGATAGACCTCAGTGGTACAAGAGCCAAATTAGCATTCAACATTATCCAAAAGAGCCACAGGTAGCGTGAATTCATTTTTTCATTTACTACAGAACTACATATTCACATTTAAACAGTATAGGAGGGGAAATATTTAGTTTCTATTGGGGTGTCGAATAATCACAGTTAACTCATGTGATTAACTCAAAAAAAGTAATCACGATTAAAAAAAGTAATAGCAATTAATCAGTTTTAATAACACTGTTAAACAATACAATAGCAATTTAAATGTATTAAATATTTTGGATGTTTTCTCTACATTTTCAAATATATTAATTTCAAATTACAACACAGTATACAAAGTAGAGAGAGTGCTCACTATATAGTATTTTTATTACAAATATTTGCACTGTAAAAACAACAAAAGAAATAGTATTTTTCAATTCACATCATACAAGTACCATAGTGCAATCTCTTTATAGTGAAAGTGCAACTTACAAATGTAGATTTTTTTTGTTACATTCCTGCAGTCATAAACAAAACAATGTAAAACTTTAGAGCCTACAAATCCGCTCAGTCCTACTTCTTGTTCAGCCAATCGCTAAGACAAACAAGTTTGTTCACATTTACGGGAGATAATGCTGCCCGCTTCTTATTTACAATGTCACCTGAAAGTGAGAACAGGAGTTCTCATGGCACTTTTGTAGCTGGCACTGCAAGGTATTTACGTGCCAGATATGCGAAACATTTGTATGTCCCTTCATGCTTCAGCCACCA